ACTGTTTGGAGGTACAGCTCTGAAGTTGGAGAAAGGAAGGAACATAAGAACATGAACAGCTTACACCTCTATCTAGACACCCTGTCTAGATATAATGCTGTTGTTACTATTTTTCTGTTTTATGCAGTAAATAAGAGGTACAAATTAAAGAATTGTCATAATTTGACCAATAGTAATATTACTAGTTTCATTCTTCCCATCTTTTCCTGTCCCCACTTTTGACCTCTGTTACTTCAAGGCCCCATCCCTGGCAAACACTCGTTCATCTTTTTTTTTTAAATGGAACTTAAGATACCTAGGTTGAAGGGGACTTCAGGGTTTACTTGTGAACAAATGGCAGCTTACAGGTTCTGTTTTTGTAGGTTATCCAGTGCAGCGGTTGCTTGAGCTGTTCTATGCCGGTATTAAAAAGCAAAAGTGTGCTTTGGGGCTTTGGAATAAGCTGGAACAGAGTCAGAACACCCATAATGCCCCGTCATTTGCTAAATGCAGTACTGTAATTCTGTGTCATGTGACTTAATTTTAATGATTGACTAAGATTATTCTTCATTAGACTCTGCGTAAATGTTAACTTGGTATCTTTTTCCTCTGAGCTCTGTTGTAAGACAAATGGACATGAGTTACAGTTTTCTCTAAAGCAGACTGTTTACTCTGGAAAGCAAAGCAAGTCTTTTCAGATTACTGGGTCATTTGGGAGCACTGGGGTGTGCTGGAATTGGTTTGGATGTAAATGTACAAAGTATTCAAAATATTCATTGTCCTCTGTTGCTGATAAATGCCACTGTTGAGAGGGGAAAATGAGAGCAAAAAGGTAGTGTTCTCCATATACTGCTTTGAGGCTTTCTTTACCTGTGGCTAAGAAATAATGAGTGATAGTTATCTACTTATATTAAACTTTTTAGTAGTAATGATGTTGAAAGGCAATAGATTCAAGGTTGTATTCAGAAGTCACACAATTTCTCTCAGCTTGGTTTCTTTATCTATGAAAGTGACTTCATAGGCCTCTTCTAGTCTCAATTTTTTATGATCCACAGGAATAAGGAAGGTATCCACTGTCTTTGTTCAGACTGCTGCAATAACATACCTTAGAGTTGGTAATTATAAACAACAGAAATTTATTGTTCATGGTTCTAGAGACCGAGAAGCCTAAGATGAAGGCACCAACAGATTAGGTGTTTAGTGAGGGCTTGCTTTTCAAAGATGGTACGTTCTCCCTATGGCCTCACATGGTGGGAGACAAGGTAGTGCCCTTAACATCTTTTATAAGAGCACTAATCCCATTTATGAGGCTGAAGCCCTTATGTTGATAAGGTTTCAATGTAAGAATTTGAGGAGGGGAACATTCATGCCACATCATTCACATTAATTGTCTTTGACCTTGACTATATATATTATAATAAGAGATGTTTAATCAGTTTTTTTCTTGTCCTTTTACTTTCCAAACCATCGTATTTGACTCCCTTATTATTACTAAACCAACCACTATAGTTAATCATTAAAACATTTCTTACTCGTCTTAAGTTCTGTGATGCTTTGATTCTCCTCCTCTTACCTATGTTGAACAGCCATGAGGAAATATCTGTAGCCTGAATGGATACAATGATGGAATGACATATTAGTTTAAAATGAAGTTATTTAAAATATCTTGCCCGTTATATTTTGGAATCTGGGTCTGATATGACCATTTATTATCTATTGACATGTCAGATCTAAAAGTATTATGCTGTATTTTGTTATGGAGACATAGAGATTTCTAGTCTTTTCTTCCATAATAGTGTGCTTTCACCTTGCTCTCCTTCATTCTTTTTAAATGATAGTAAAATGAAGAAAGGTTATCCACTCACCACTATGATCTCCTCTCTCTCAGAACTTGCCTCTGGTTGTCTGTGTTATCGTGTTATCCATTTTAAGTACCAGAGGGACATGAATTCTATATGGACCTTCCTTCTATTTTTTTCTAAAAGTGTTTTTTAATCTGAAAATCCTGGTAATTTGTTTTCTATATACAAAAAGAAAAGTAGAACACCAAGAAGGCCAAGCATTAGAGTGTTCTAAAACAGGTGAGTTTTAATATGTTGGTTGATAAGTCCTGATCAAGAACTTGGGTTCTCAAAAATAATAAATGCTGAACATTGTGTTCTTCTCTGAGAAGAGTTGAGGAGAATGGCTGTGCAAGTGGGTTTGGGGAATATGGTGAGAAAGAATAAGAAATTGAGGATAGGATACTTATATTCAGAATCAGCCTCTTAAAATTTGCAAATCAGGCTTAATATAAATGAAGACTCGCATACCATATATTTGAATATTTCAGCTATAGTCAGGCTAACAAACTGTTAAATATGTTCTCTGCTGCTGCCTTGTCAAGTATTCTTTTATAATGTCCTGAAGCAAGATTCAAATTTAGGTCATCAGACCCCTTGGGCTTCAGCACTGTATATGTCAGTGTGGTCAGAGCAGGGCCAGCAGCTAGTACCTCTTCTCATCTCCATTTCCATTCCCCACCTTGCACAGGTGTGGACACTGCAGTCCATTTGTCCAAGCTCTTTTGCACCCTCAGGTCTGTTGGTTCTCATATAGTTGGGAGGATAGACCCAGAGAAGAAGCCTGTGCAAACTCTGGAAACAGTACTGGTGTCATTTGGGTGGAGAATTCCAGGGCCTTACTTACCTCTAATATGAAGAAAGCAGTTTTTCAATGGAAATATAAAGAGAGCCACATAAGAAATTTAACTTTCTGGTATCCATGTTAGAAAAAAATTTAAAAGCAGGTGAAACTAATTTTAATATATTTAACTTAATCCAGTATATAAGAATTACCACTTCTTAAAAATACTAAGATAATTTACTTTCTGTTTTTGTAGTAAGTCTTGGAAATCTAATACAGGTTGAGTCTCCTTAATTTTAAAATCTGAAATCTGAAGTGCTGTGAAATCCAAAACTTTTTGAGAGTTAACATGATGCTCAAAGGTTTGGACTTTTGCAGCATTTTGGATTTTGGAAATTTGGTTTAGGAATGCTTAATCAGTAAAGTCTGTGCTGATATTCCAAAATCTGAAAACCTCCCAAATCTGGAATACTTGTGATTCCAAGTATTTTGGATTAAAGGTACTCAACCAGTATGCATATTATACTTGAAGACCATCTCCAAGTGTTTCAAATGTTCAGTAGCTGCCTGGGGCTAGTGGTAGCTTATTGGACCTTGTAGACGTAGGAAAAGGGAGCCGCATCTCTGTTCTGTAGGGGATGCTTTGGCCCCTGGAATTGAGGGCTGTCCTTTTTATGTAAGTCCTTTTATGTAAGTAGTGTTTTGTCATTGAGTTGATGCTGAGAATTACTGCACAGGTGCAGTCTAAAAATCTCTACTGAAAATTAATGGCAAAAGGCAAATGAGACCTTAGTATTGTTATAAAAATAGTTTTGACCTTGGGAATTTCCTGAAATGATCTCAGAGGCCTCTTCTGTAGTTCCCAAGCATGCTTTGAGAACACTGGACTGAGAATAATAGATCCTGTGATCTTGCTTGTGTTTTATAGATCATAGATAATCAGAATAAGGGATAAACTTCTTTTTGTTGTTTTAAGAAGGTCTAGTGACTCAAAGTACAAAATAGAAAAAAAAATTTTAATTATGATTCAGGTTTGGCAATAATTTCTAATTTGTTTTTAATTTGAGATACCTAGGTTTATATGTACCCATTCAAGAAAACAGCTATTATTTAAAAAAGAAAATGAAGTTAACACTTTCAGCATGTCAAATAGATGATTGTCAACTTTCTATGTAAATTATAATTTTATATTTTAAGAATAAAGCTTAACATTTTATAAATTTTAATAAATAAGTTACATGACAATTCCTTTAAAATGTTGATTGAGTTGAATCAGATAGCTTTAGATACTGTGTATGTCTCTTCTAGGCAGGGTGCAAACTGCGTGGTGTTAAGGCTAAGGCAGTTTTTGAAAGAACCAAGAACCAGTTTGTTTCTAACCTCATATAGCTGGAGTAGGGATTGCAGAAGTACAAATTAAAGATAGCTTCTGCAATTGCTTTAGTTGCTTGGGCAACTGAGAAAATGAAATAAAAAACCAAAAAACCCATAACAAGAATAGAAGAGGAGGAAGTACTGGAATGGAATGAAGATTTAGGTAGGTTTGCTTTTGACTGGAAAGATAGGGTGGCTCAGGTGCAGAGATAGCATGTGATAAGATTGAGAGAGTTGTTCACATAGCAGGGAAAAGATTTCCTAAGGAGCAGATGATATAGAGCAAGAATGAAACTAACAAAGAACTTGTAGGGAGGAGTACTTCAGTCTGGGGTGGGAAGAGAAGGCAAAGAGAAGGTCACATAAGAGAAGAAGGCTAGAGAGAGCTAGGAAATGACCCTGTGAGGAGAATGTTACTAAGGTGAAATGAGAAGAGCTTTTCAAGAACGGTATGTGGGTGGCAGTTTCAAGCTGTATTGAGATGGAGGAATGGTGATGAGTTCCTAAATTTGGAACTACAGAGTACTGGCTATCTAGGATACAGTTTTTTGGGTGAGTAATTTGTTCTTATTTTAGATAAGCAGAAGTTTTTGACTTGTCTGAAATAGCAGGTGAGTTGGCTTCCCAGTTCTGCTTGTTCTCTGGCCTCTTTTACCTGACCATTTACCTGAATGTTAATTGCACAAACTGAGATACAGTAAAAAATAAAGTTACACCAGAAGAACTCACCTCCTCAAATCTTAACCTTATTTTAGAGCAACAAGTTTGTTTCTAAATGTGTTTACAATACTCTGGTTTCTCTTCAGATCATATAAATCTTTTATCTTTCGGTAACTGTGCTTACATTTTTGGGTCAGATGTACATTCTGGCTCTGTTGCTTCCAACCTTTGAGCGCTCCATTTTTACTTCAGTGGAATTAGGGAGCTGGGCTATACTATCTCCAAACCTATGCTAAAATTATGTGATATTATATATCAATGACATTTACTGCTTTCTGTCTGTTTTTGTTTTATTATGATAGGTTCACCAAGTTGAAGAGTCTTAACCTTTCCAGTAACCATCTAGGGGACTTCCCATCAGCAGTCTGCAGTATTCCAACCCTGGCAGAGTTGAATGTGTCTTGCAATGCCCTGCGAGCAGTCCCAGCAGCCATCGGAGCTATGCACAAGTGCGTACTTTAAACACCACTGCAGGGGTGTCCAGAAGAAACCCCAGGGAAGCTGCATTGGGTTATAGCACATCAGATTAGCTAGCTTGTTATGTTGGTCATGTAAGTCTTGGCCTCAATTCTAACAATCAGGCACTGCATGGTCTGTATTGAGAATTCATTTGTTGTTAGACTTTAGATTTTCAGAAGCTTGTAAAGATTAAAATACCCTTGTTTTGAACTGAAGTTCCCTGTGGATGAATATGTCTGATAATGGGGGAAAGGGTTAGTTTCTCCTTTTCTGAGTTATGTTGAATTAAGACATGGACACTCATTTTAAGAAATAATAAAGATGGGTATTTTGGCTGGTTCACACTACAATGAGCTCATTTTGCTCCCATTTTTGCCTAAGTTGATAAAGTTGGACATAATTTCCATTTTTAATAAAAGGTTAAATACTTCTGATGTTTTTTTTCCTTGTCTATTAATTGTCCAAGGCCGTGTCTTTATGCAGTTTGCACAAAAAATAGTAATTTTCTAAGTAATATGATCTTTATTTATTGAGCTTATATGTGTTGCTAATAAAGATGTAAAATGTACACTTCTCTGTGTAATTCTTATTTTATTTAATAGCTTACAGACATTTCTGTTGGATGGAAACTTTCTCCAGTCCCTTCCTGCTGAGTTAGAGAACATGCCCCAACTCAGTTATCTTGGTCTTTCATTCAATGAATTCACTGACATTCCAGAGGTACTGGAGAAATTGACTGCTATGGATAAACTTTGTATGTCTGGAAACCGTATGGAAATCCTTAGAGTACAGGCCTTAAGAAGAATGCCTCACATAAAGCATGTGGATCTAAGGTAACTATTTTTGAGCAATATATTCCATTTGAACAGTTGAGGTAGGTTATATCCCTTCCAATGAGATTAGCCAAAGGAAACAGACTGATTTAGTTAGTTGAAGGAGTATCTAGTTCAATTTCTGCCTAGAGGGAAGAATAGTAATTAGTAGTAAGATTTGTTCTTTCCTGAAACTTCTTAAAAAAATTCTCGTATATCTGGAACGTCTTAACTTTGTTTACAGATTTGAATCCAGTTTTAATTTGCATGAATGGGCAGGACCATTGAGTCAGAGAGCTATTGAAAATGAATGAAAATAGTATCAATGAAGGAAGATGGAAGGTTTTCTTTCTTAGTGCTTCTTAGCTGTGGCTTATCCAAGGCATTTGACATCATTGAACATCTCCTTTTTCTAATTTTTTCCCCCGTTCCTTGGCTTCCTTAATTTCAATTAGGAGAACCATTACACAGGAGGACACTTTGTAACATTGTTCTTTTTAAGGAAAAACAAGAACCTATCATGGATTTGAGTTCTTAGAAAGCAACATATATTAGTCCTTGATGCTAACTTGCCCAATGTGATACTTTTTCAACCAAATTAATACCTCCATTAACCAGAGGTTGATGCCCACTTACTAGCCATGTTTAATCTTGAGCAGGTTGTTTAATCTTGAGCAGGTTATTTAATCTCGGTACCCCAGTGTTCTCATCTGTAAATTACAATTAGTAATCTAACCTAATTCACAGAATTGTGGAGAAAATTGAGTTAAATTGCCAAGCACCCCCAGCAGTTGTTAGGTTCTGTTATTACTATGTTGACTGAGGACTCTTCCCCTCTTGTGGAACCTGCTTAGCTGACCTTCTTGGTATTTTTATACTCTTGTTTATGAAAGGTGAGTCTGTCCTTCTTGCTTCACTACCCATTTTCCTCTGTGTTGTTTACCTAAGGCCCTTACTCAGACTCTTCTAGTTTCATTAGCATAAAGTAGCATCATTGTTTGCTCTCCCTTCATGTAGTTTGGCCTATGGAACCTATACATTTCAATCCCACAAAGGATTGCTTGATTTCACCTTTCTCAGACTAAAGTACTCAAGCCTGCCCCACCTAGGGGAGTGTTAGCAATTTGCAGATCTAAAAATCTTAATTTGGGGATTAAAAATGTTTGTAATTTATCTGACTTTAAGAACTTTTCGAAGTGGGACAGGATAAGAAACTAACAATTTGTCTTCTGAACTTTCTTTCCAAAATGTTAGTGTTATTTACCTGAGTCACTTTGTTTTAGAAACCCCTCATATTCCAGAATTTAAGTCCTTTGTTTATTCAGCCACCTAATGTTATAACTTTGGTATTTATAACTTTGGTATAGCCGAGATTATGATGCTACCTGACTTCAGGTAACAAGATGATTTTAAATTGAAACTACTGGAGTTATTTAATGGGAGTTTCGCTTAGTTTCTCTAATTTGATTAAGTTTCCTTCAAATGGTAATGTTCACCAGATAAAAAGTGATCATTTTTCTTTTATTCTTTTCCTTACCTTGATGTTCTTTGAATCTGATAGTACTACTTCTTTGGTATTATTAATTACCTTCTCCCCCCTATCAAGTGCAGCTGTTACCTAATTCTCTGTCTTCAGTTAACTTCTCTTCAGATATTCTAACTACAATTTCTGTCTCCATGGTTGCATGTACTGCCAATCTTCATCTTTCACCTTTCATCTTGATGCCAATCATTCCCCAATATTCCCTTACCCTTCTTTCTCTTCTTGGGACGAATTTCACTTCAGCTGCCAGCTGGAGAAATTCTCCTTGTTTTCCCCCTATTGACGCACTTAACCAAATACATGTGAAACAAAGCTCAGTTTCTTTCTTTACTCAGCTAGTTCTTTCCCCTGGATTCTTGTGTTTGCTGATAGCAGTACCTCATTGGTTATCTAGACACAGAACTTTTGGCTCTACTTCTGGTCTATCACCAGATTCAGTCATTTCCTTCACAGTGGTTTCTGTCATCTTTTCTTTTCTCACTGCTGCTGTTGTCCCCTGGGTAAGGCATTTACTTCCATTGTACAGCCTCTCTTGTTCAGGGCTTTCCGTCCCCTAGTCAGGGTATTCAAGCTCTTCTATCTGGTTTCAGCCCACTGGCACTCGAATCGCTTGAGGATGAGGCTCTACCTTTGAGCTGCTCAAGTGTGGCCCTCCAGCTTAGGCTGGCAGGCCTTTTATTTGCCATGTTTCTATGAGATACGTATAGAAATTGAGATGCATATCATAGTGACTTAACTTGCCGCAGTATCCAAGTGCTTCATGATAGAGTCATCTCATCTTGCAGGAAATTAACCAGTGCAGGTACTGTTAGACTTGCACGGTGAGTCACATGCAATGTGATCTATATACTGATTGTGTGCTGGCAGGGTTGTATGTCAGTCTATGATGAATGAGAAGTTTAGAAAATAAATCCTTCACTGCAGAGCACTGCTCATTTATCCTTTAGCCTCCAATGTTAGCACTTACTAAGGTATAGTCCTTGATAAATATTAACTGACATATACCTTTTTACTACTATTTCCACTTAATCCTGCACTCACTCAGGCATGAAACTCATGCTGTGTTCTTTTTAATTCAGACACCACAGTGCGATTTCCTGTTGACTGCTTTTCCTCTCCCATTTGCATGTTAAATTCTATCTATCCTTGAGATTTAGATGAGGTGCTTCCTTTTCCGTAGCATCCTTTTTGAACATTTCTTTGTGTTTCACACATTGTTAGACCACTTATCACATACTTCTAGTTCTTATATTGAATTTTTATCTTATTTTATTTTTGACAGTCCTGGGATTGAATTCTGTGCCTTGTGCTTACTACTCCGGTGCTCTGCCACTTGAGACATTCTTCCATTGTAATGAATATTTTAAAACATTTGTTATTCTCTCTAAATTATAAAATCCCTTGAAACACACTTCATCTTTTTGAACCTTTTTATTAGTATGTAGTAGTTGTATAGGTGTTTCGTTGTGACATTTCCATATATGCATATAATGTACCCCAGTTAGGTTCATCCTATTATTATCACTCTTCTCTCTCCCCCTTCTTAAAATGATTTCAACAGGTTTCAGTGTTCCATATTCATATATATATAGAAAGAACACGGATCATATTCTCCCTCCTTTACCTTCTTCATTTACCCTCTTCCTCCTCTTAACATAACTTGTTTCACAGTCCTTCATAGTTTAAGTGTGTCTTCATTGTTCAGAGAGGTTTTGCCTTGTTACTTCACCTGCAAGTATATTAATCAATCTAACCTCCTCTATTACTCTTCCTTATCCGTTTCCCCCTATTTTTCAACAGCTTTCAGTGTGTTTTGTTTTAGCTTGTTCTTATACAAATGACATATTTCATTATTATCCACTCTACCATTCTCTTCTCCTTTCCCTTCTCCCCTAGTATCCTCTAACACTCCCACTATTGGACATACTCTATATATATGATACTGCTTGTAATTGTATTTGGATCTGTGTTCCACATACGAGAGAAAACATGCAACCTTTTGTCTTTCTGAACCTGGCTTACTTCATCTAACATTGATAATTCATACATCTAACATTGATAATTCCATCCATTTAACTGTGAATGACACAATTATTCACCTCTTATTAATTGTGAATGACACAATTATTCACCATCACAAAGCCGTAAGTTGTGGTCATCATCATCATAGCCTAAAAGCTTTTGATAATTAAGTCATCATAAGTGTTGACAATTTGAGCTGACCAGTGGGAATGGAAACTTTGCTTTTCTCATTACATTTTCTTTTGCTTCCTCATTAAACCAACATTTTTATTATTTTGATATTAATACAGTGACATTGTGTGTAGGGGGTACTATTTTAAATGAAATGATAATGCCATTAGGAAGATAATTAGTTTTGGGGAAACTTCGAATATTTTTTCAATTTCTGCAGTCTGTTGTCTTCAAAATGAGATTTTTTTCCTTTTTTTATTCAGTGTATACATTCTAGTAACCTAATGAACATTTGGAAATAAACAAATTGCTGGGTTGAGACCAATTTTAAAATCTTATAACCTTGAACAAAAAAGGAGCCAAAAACATCATCTTGGGGCATTCAAAGAGACCATATGCTGTATTCGCATTTAGGTGAATCCTAGCTCTGCTGTCACTCATCTTGTGTTTCAGTGGCTTATGATATTACACTCTCCTCAATAACTCAGATACGTGGTTTTATTTTTTTAAGGGTAGAAATTCATTGCAGAGAATCTTTAGTGTTTTCCTAAACTCCAGCCTCAATAACAATGTTCTTTTAATCAAGTATATGATCTCAGCACTTGTAATGAGAAGTGGAGAGTTTTTGTTGTTTCTTTTTTTTTTTTTTCTTTTGTTATTTATATATGCATACAAGGCTTGGGTCATTTCTCCCCCCTGCCCCCACCCCCTCCCTTACCACCCAGTCCGCCCCCTCCTTCTCCCCCCCACCCCCTCGATACCCAGCAGAAACTATTTTGCCCTTATTTCTAATTTTGTTGTAGAGAATGTTGTTTCTTTTTAAAGGAGTTAGTTACTAACCACTAAACTGAGAACTGAGATTTTCATCTGTTTTCTCCCCCTTGAAGCTAAATTATTTTGTCATATTGGTCCCTGTCCCCCATTACCACTTGTCTTCTGGCAGCTCATCCATAGCAACTCCAGTCCGTCAGTGAAGTAGCTCTCGTGACTTGTTCTCCTGTGCCTTCTCCCGCCTAGACTTGTTCAGCCCCATTGCTATCCTTCATTTGATGACGTCTCACTGAATCCTGGATGCCCGTTTTCACTTTGCTCATTGATTTAACTGTTCCATAAATGGAGACAGCTTTGGTTGTCAGGCCTGGTCCTCAACAGTTGAGAATCCCATACCTACTCCATCTCTGCTCCATTCATTATTCAACTCAGGTTCTGTGTTTTTTTTTTCAACAACTGTTTAGTTCTGTCTGTAACTGCCCATCTACTGGGTCGGTCATCCTCTGTCCTTTCTTAAATATTCATTGTGATTGTAATATGTATAATAGGTTATTGTGGGTTTTGTTTCTCATGTTCTTTACAGTATGGTTTCAGTACTTTCCAACCTAGTTCTTTGGAAATAATGTGGATTTTTTTTCTTCTTGAAGTGAATTAAAGGAAAATGAATATGCTTGCTCCTCTACCAGCCTTCATGACCTAAATTGTGTTTCAGAATATATTATGAAGACTCAGACCTCTTAGAATTGTAGCTAAAAATAACCAGTGAATCTGGCCAGTTAAACAACGCCAGATGCTTGAGATTAAAGAAATTGTGGAAAACTGTAATGCAGTGACACTTGAATCCTTTCTTATTACCCTACCATATTAGGGTATGGAAATTTGTTTATAGCACTGAAGTTAATTGTAGTTTCTATTTGTGTCCTTCCCCCTCGAGACTGAACATAATTAGGAAGCTTATAGCAGATGAAGTGGACTTTCTGCATCATGTCACTCAGCTTGACCTGCGAGACAATAAACTTGGTGATCTAGATGCTATGATTTTCAACAACATTGAAGTGCTACACTGTGAGAGGAATCAACTGGTGACATTAAACATTTGTGGCTATTTCCTAAAAGCACTGTATGCTTCTTCTAATGGTATGTAACATGGACCACATCAAACCTGGTCTATTTATCCAGTTCCATCATCTCTCTCTCTCTCACTGATTTTTCTTTCCTCATTTAGTTAGTAAAATAAGCATCTAATTTTGGCAAGACAAAAGTCATAAAAGAATGCTGGTTTGGTATTTAAATAAAGGAATCAAGAAGGAAGATTTTACTCTTCCTAACTTGTTTTTCTCATGCTATAATATTTAGGTAAATTACTCCCACTCTTCATTTGTTTCTTACTCTGCTTAAAGTAAGGGAGGAGATAAGTCCTCCCTGTTAAGTCTGGCACCTTGATTTAATACTGAATGGTGAGAGGAAAGGCCATTATGGATCGTTCAGGACCTGTAGTTCCATTTCCACTAACAAAGCAACTTGCCTTAAGATAAACCTGAATTATTTTATACCATAAAGCAAAGTCTTTATAATTTAATAAGCTCTTTTCCTCAGAGTTTGAAAATCCAGGCTGAATCCAAAAACGAAAAGTTCATATAGGCATATATTTACTAAGGTGAAGGTTTGAGTCCCCTGTAATTAGTAAACTGAATGAAAACAAATATTTATTACTACAATTGTACAAATGTTTATTAAGCACCTGCTTTATGCATAGTGTAACTCATGGGTTGTTAGAAGTAAGGGATTTTGGGAAAAATGTGCTTACTGTCATCTCATTGGAAAAATGAGCCAAACCTCAAGTAGGTGCAGTTCTAGTATAATCAGTTTGGCTAAGCACTGTTGGGTTATAGGATTTGGATAGCAAGGACATGTAAGATGGGAAGAAAAAAATCTGAATGTGGCTTGTTCAGCAGTTGGGAGAAGACAGGGAATTTTGACCTTATAGAACTAACTATGGGGAAGCATGGTTTGAAGTCAGATAGTAAAACATTTGAGCATAGTACAGTAAGCCATAGAGAACCAGGGGAAATTCTTATAAGGAGAGGAGACGTGATGGAAGTGATGCTCTCAGATTGCTAACGTGAAAGCAGCTATGGGAGAAAAGTGACAGTGTCCATGACTTCACTTATCCAGGTTATTAGAATGGGCTTTCTGTGAGTTAATGGGAACCTACAACCAGGATTACAGATGTTGATTTGTAATTCATCTGCTCAGAGGTGGGTAGTAGAAACTATGGAAGTAAGATAACTGGAAGAGAGAAGAGAGCTGGTACCAAAACCCCATCTGTGAACCCCTCACAGTAAGCTGGGGCTAGAGTGAACAACCAGATAGGGACTGAATCTCTGAATTACTTGGCAAGTGTTTAGCACAGCAGGGCATTTAGAATTACTCTGTCCAAGGAACAAAGCTATAGGTGGAGACTGGTGTCACATTTCATAAAATTTGGAAGAAGTGTTTTCCTATTTGAGTGAAGGAACTCATTTGTGACTTTTAAGAGACTATCATTTCAGTAGAGTAAGGAAGGCAATTGCAAGATCTGTTTGGTTTTATGGAAGGAACCCTGACTGTTAAAAAGATGTTACTCATTTAGTCAAGCTTTGAGATACAATTAAGCATGCTTAATAAGAGGAGAACCACAGTAAATGAATAGGAAAGAGGTAGCAAAGTAGAATGGGTGACTTATTTCCACCCCTTAATCTTAAGATTAAGTTAGAAGTTGTCTTTACTTTCCTGAAGTTTCAAAGTTGAACAAGTGGATGTATTATACTTGCTGAACTAAACAAACAATGGAGGATAAAACACAATAGTGATATTCTATATTACAGAGTCTCTGTAAAATTACTGAATAGTAATTTCTTATGTGTTTCTTCTCCCTCTTAGAACTTGTTCAACTTGATGTTTACCCAGTTCCAAATTATCTGTCTTTCATGGATGTTTCAAGGTAAGCAGACAAATTTCAGATCACTCTTGAGTCTACTTGAGTTATTTTGGTGATTTTTTTCTGAGCCTGTGCATAAGCAGATTTTTTAAAAAAAGATTTTAGAGGGAAATAATAAAAATGAAATTTAATGGACTCATTCCCTAAAGATATATGTTATATATATTCAGGATCTATAGATTCATGTTCCACTAACAAAGGAACTCACCTTCAGATAAACCTGAATTAGATACCAAAGGACACTGTAAAGTAAGTCTTAATCATTTAGTAAGATCTCTTCCATCACATGTCTCCTCCTTCCTTGCTTCATTCATTTCAGTTAAAATGCATTTATATACCGTGATTCATCCAGGAAGAACAATGGTTCAAGTGGTAGAGCACCTGCTTACCTAGTTCCGGGCCCTGAGTTTAAACTCCAGTGCTGCCCAAACAAACAAGAGCAACAATAGTAAAAACAAAACAAAGAAAGACCAAGGTGTCATTTTAGGTACCAGTTTTCTTTTTTTCTTGTGCTGGGGTTCAAACCTAGGGCCTTGTGCATGCTAGGCAAGCTTTCTACCACTGAGCCCTAAAACCAGTTTGGGTACCAGGCTTTTCCAATTATCATACATAACTCTGTTACCTTAACATCACAGCTGTTTATAGTCCTTATCCCAAACATCATATTTTCACAGAATTGTTGTGTATGAAAAATTGGAGTCAGTGGTAGACCACTTGCATAGCATGTATGAGGCCCTGGGTTCAATCCCAAGCAGAACCAAAAAAAAGAACATCATAGTCATAATATGTGTACCATTTTAGATTCTTTATGCTTGGTTACTTCACATATTTAAAAAAGAAGGTAAAAAGCTAACCAGTTATGACTAGTTTTGTTCAATTGTTGCTAGTAACTGTAGTTAACATCTAATGCTCAAGTAAATGTTTTCAGATAATTGAGTCAGTGTCCCTTTTCACTTCTCACCCTTCCTATTTATCCATAGCTGTGTTTTCATGATATCAAATGGAATTGGGGAGCATTTTAACGTTAATGATAAAAATGTCAATTTGAAAATGAAACCATCTTATTTGATTATTTGACTTAACTGGAAGTGTACATGTTTGGTTTTTGTGTTTTGGTTTTTCCAAATAGAGATATCCTTTCTCTAAACTTAATGAATCTATAGAATTTTTAAGAAAGTAATCTGAGAGCTAGATAATAATTTATGTCCTTGTGTTTAGGAACTGCTTAGAAAATGTGCCTGAGTGGGTATGTGAAAGCCGAAAGTTAGAGGTTTTAGATATTGGCCACAATCAAATATGTGAACTTCCTGCACGGTGAGTATTGCAGATAAGTGAGACAATCTCAATTTATTATCATACATAACTCTGCTGAGTTTGTGATCTTGTTTGTTTGTTTTTTGGTATTGGGGTTTGAACTCTGGGCCTATGCTTGCTAAGCAGGTGCTCTACCACTTGAGCCATGCTCCCATCCCTTTTTGCTTTAGTTGTTTTTTCAAATGGGGTCTCACATTTATGCCCGGGGCAGCCTGGGCAGTTATCTCCTATTTATGCTTCCTGCTTACCTGGGATGGCAGAGATGTGTCAACACGCCCAGCTTTTATTGGTTGAGATGGGATCTTGCTAACTTTTTGCCCAGGCTGGCCTTAAACCATGATCCTCCACCTCTGAAGTAGCCAAGATTACAGGTGTGGGCCATGGTGTCTGGCCTGATTTAGTGTTTAACTTGTTATTATGAACCCCTGAAAGAGTTTGTATTTTAAAAACTCTTTTGTCTTTTACTCCATGTTGTGTCTTATCTTCATGGAGTGAAGAATACAGCAAGGCAAACTTTTCAGAGCTATGCCAGACAATGGTTATTTGGTAATGCAAAATTTTAAACCAAAAGAAATATTCAAAGATTCAACAAACAATTTGAGTGGTTTACTTCTAGTATCTTAATTCCTTCAGAATATTTCATTTCTGCTGATTTAATATGTCTTCCTTATCCATAAATTATTTTGCTTTCCCTATAATAAAACTTTGGTATGTATGTATAGGGGTGGATTGTTAGATCATTGAATCTAGAAAACTAGATTCTCTTTTATTCTTGGTTTAAAATTCGGAGTAGAGTGTCCAAAAAATTCTCTTTCTATTAATATTTGTTATTATTTTTCTCATAATTTTCATTTAAATGTCAAGATTTTCAAAATAGCCTTGTGATGATTTCTAGTATCTGTAGATACTGACAATATATTCAAGTTGAGTAATTGGGCACAAAATATTACTGGCTCATTGAACTAGCCAGGTAATTAATAACCAAAAGAGGAGTGTCTCCCAGGACTGTCCTGTAGAATTTTCTGAGATGACTTAAATGCTCCTTCTGTGCTGTCCACTAACATCCAGTAACGACATGTGACTACTGAAATATGGCTGGTGTGATCGAGTTGTTTTCGTCAACATACAGTCAAAAATGTCAATGAAAATATGATAAAAATATGTCAGTGTTTTGGAGTAACTTTTACTTTAGCTAAATTTTTACTTTAGGTTACTTCCATATGATCTTTAAAGGTATCTGATTACTATTTCTCTGTTTTCTTCAAGGAACAGGATTATGAAATACACACTTGATAATATTGGTAAATGTGCTAGAGCTGAGCTGTCTAATATGGTAGTCACTCACCCTTAGTCATGTGGCTTTTTATACCTGAAATATGACTAGTTATGATAGTGAAGTACTATAAGTATGAAATTTACACTATATGCAAATATTCATAATACATATTAATTACATTATAAATAATATTTTAGATAGTGGATCAAATAAAATACAAGAACTTTTGCTTTTTTAACCTTGCTACTAGAGAGTTTAAAATTGCATGTGTGGTTTACATTGTATTTCTGCTGGATTACACTGTTAGAATACAACTCTCATAAAAGAAAAGTTACATTTTCAGTCTTTGGAAAGACCAGTTAATTTTTCTTTGTCCCTCAGCCGTAGGTTATGCCTGTGAATTTGATCCACTTGAAATTGTTTTTTCTGCCCTAGAGTATTATTTTTATTAAGAATTTAGGTGACCCTGTGCAGCCTATCACTATTATTGAGAGAATTAATTGGGGGGGGTGTGGAGAGAATTAATGGTGTGTGTGTTTATATATATGTCTGTCTGTCTTCATGCTCAGCACTTTACAAAAGGAGCACTGAAAATGAAAATAGGCTATTACAATTGGGGGAAAAAACTGTTGAAATTTTTTTTGTCTTTAGCTTTCCTTCTATTTTCTGTCTTTTCCTACTTCTAATCCGTTGATCCAACAAATAGCACCTTGCTGACTAAGACCTCACACACATAAATACAAGAAAACTGATATTTACCCAGTTTCCTTAATCTCACTTTGAAAACTGATATTTACCCAGTTTTCTTAATTTTATGTTGATTCTGCATCAGTATAGAGTCTGGGGCTTCTAAACAAATGCTTATTCAAAGCAAATGCCAAACATTGATGAAGAGTTTAAACAGTGTTTTTCTCTGTGTACTTTTTTTTTTTTAATGTGAAGCAAAAACTGTGTATTGTTTTCTCTTTTGTAGTGTTTTGCTATACTTTGTATGGGCCCTATTGTTGACATAGTATTCAGGCAGAACATTGATTCATTAAAATTGACTTAATATTTATGCTTTATTTATGTAAACAAGGTATGTGAAAGGTTTGACAAAATGAATTGTTTCTAAGTAGAAATGTGTTGAAGAAGAAAGAGTAGTTTTTTGTCTTTTTGGGGGGTCTGGGGTTTGAACTCAGCTTCATGCTTACAGAGCAGACACTCTCCTGCTTGAGCACACATCTGGTCCAAGAAAGACTATTTTAATGCTTAGATAGTACCCAAAAAAATTGAGCTAAGTCTAATAATTAGTATTTAATTGATCAAACCTTCCTTTTTTTTGGAAAAATAAAGATAGGATTTTTTTACCCCTGTCTTCCAGTTGCTCATGTGTTAAAGATAAAGAATGTAGGTATATAATGAATCAAATGCTGAATTACTGGGTTGGAGAGACCATTACAGAGAATGCCCTGTGACATGACTGCATGACTGGCCTGCATAATCTGGCCTGTCACATTGATATCTAAACCTGCAAAGTCAGGTATCTTTAATGGTGTAGGGCTGAGGCAGGTGTTAAAGTCTTTGTGAGCAAAGAATCTAGTTTTGATATTCAAAGTGAATAAAATTATGCCATTTAGTCGTTATGTTTGTGTCAAAGAACACAAAATTTCAGTTAAACAGGACAAATAAGTTCAAGAAGTCTTTGTAAAATACTATATTATATTTTTTTAATTTTGATTTTTAATTTTTCTCCAATGTTCTTATTTTTTTTTCATATTCTTGTGTACCGAGGTACTGAGGGTACACTGTGACATGTACAAAAGTTCTTACAATATATAATGGTTGAATTCACCCCTTCCATCATTCTTCCTTCCCCCACTTCTGGAATAGCTTCAACAGGCCTCATTTTTCCATTTCCATACGTGAGTACGTAACACTTGTACCGCATTTACCCTCCTAAACCCTATGTTCTTGAGAATTGCTAAGACAGTAGGTTTTTTTTAAAAAGGTACTCACTACACAAAATGATAGGTATTTGAAGCATGCATATATTAATTGATTAAGCCATTCTATAGTGATACATTTTTCAAAACATGTACAACATATACATAAAGTGTAGTATGTTTATATATGTGTGTATTATGTATATGTATGTATATATATTATGTGGATGAGGAAAGCCTCATTCTTTGACAGCAATAGAAATCAATTCTTATTCTAAAATGAGTGATGAAAATGATTACTTACACTTTTCTACAGCCTCTGGATGTCTGTGTTTAAACTCAGTACCTGTTTTATTCTCTACAGTTGGTAAAATCTGAAGTGGTCATAATGTGGTTTTGTATTAGATTAGCAAGTGTTCACCATTTGCTACACTTCTCATAACCCCTAGAAGACACACAGCCAAGTTTTCATGCAGTTCTTTAAGGCTCACAAAAAAAACAGGATTAAATGCATTCTCTCTTTAGGCAGGAGTGTCTCCTTTAGTGCAGGATTAAACCAAAGAGAACCCCAAACTGTACAGATAGGGAGGAAAAGAAAGGGAGAAACCATTATGACTATAAAATACAACTAAAGAAAAGTACAGAATATCTCAGTTGCATTTGTACAAGTTTGATTGGATAGCACAATCCTTATTTTATACAAAAATTGCTTGGCTATATGTATTTAGATCTTATGTGGCTAAAATGCCCATCATCATTGGGCTATGTATAATACAAGCCCTACCTTGGAGAAGCATACACCCTTTTAAAGCTTGTCTGTGAATCTAACAATTAGACTGATGTCTTCACCATCTACTTCTATGAAACTTGTTTTTCACTAAATAGATCTTTGCTCAGTATGTTTTCATGCCCTCTTTTTTTCAAGTATAGAACCTATTAAAATAAAAACAGCTCCAAGTTTGTATTGAAATAAATTTATAGTTGCTCTGAATCAGTGTCTGATTTTTAGAGAGATAATTTTTAAGTATTTATGCCCAGTTAGCTCTAAGTAAGTTATCTTCTGTCTTTTGTCCCTTTTTGTACAGCTTATTTTGTAATAGTAGTCTCCGGAAATTGCTGGCAGGACACAACCAGTTGGCAAAGCTGCCTGAAAGGCTAGAAAGAACATCAGTGGAGGTCTTAGATGTGCAACACAACCAGCTTATTGAGCTACCTCCTAACCTTCTCATGAAGGCCGACAGGTAAAGCGGCTTGTCTGTCTGGTGTATTCGTCTGAGTCTACACAGCACTCACCACTAGCATCTTGTCTTCTATGACCTGAGAACCTTCGTGGGAACTTTCTGATTATCTGTGTATCCTAGATTCATGAAGAAAATGGTTTTGCCAGCCTCTTCTCTGTTTTGCAGGGAATGGAGCCAGGAACAAACACCCTTTAGATTCTTTACTGGTTTCACTACTCTCTGGACAGAGTAGGCTACATTGTGCATAAGTGTGTATTGTGGGGGTGGAGATGTAAAGCCAAGGATGAGACGTGTATTATTGTAATGCTACTTGGCAAAACTTGTGCAGGCTACTCCAGGCTTAGCACCATTGCCACACTCTGAAGAAAGTAACAGTAGTTCTTAACTTACTTTCAAACATCTTGTTTGCTTCAAAGCCTCTGCATCGTATTGTAATGGTGTAGACTGGTGGCCTGAATCACTTTGACTTCTGCTAATATTTATTTTTAGGAAGTAACTATTACTTTAGAGATAATATATGAAGGATCTTACTTTTAGTGTTATCTCATCATGAAGATTTTTAAAAGGGGCTGGGGGAACCTTGGCTTCCTATGTAGCAAGTAAGGGCTCTGAGTTTACACCCCAAAACCTCTCTCCCCACAAAAAAAAAAAAAAAAAGATTTTAAGAAGTTTAATGTTGTGCTTCTAGAAGTACAGAGAAAGGAAATGGATATTACTACCTTAAAAATAAGTTTTAAATATGTGTCAGCATGTGTGACGTTACATGGGTGAAATAATAGTATAGGAACTCAGGACAGCCTAATCCCAAGATGAATTAATTAACAATATACCCTGGTTTCCCAGTCCCTGTGCTCACACTTATCACAGTGCTCATCACATACTATAATTTCCTGTTTGTTTCGCTCCACTGTTAGGTTATTAACTCTGCAAAGCTACTAACTAAGTCTTACTTACAGTTTTATACTGAATAGCTATACCATATCTGGAATAAAGGAATATGATCAACAAATATTTGTTTAATGAAAATAGAAAACTTAAGGAATTTAAAATATTATGTTCACTTCTGATTCCATATTTTTTCTTTGCCTCTTTTTCCTTTTAAAAAAAATCTTATCAAGACAAACTCTTATCAAGAGGTTACAGTAAAGTGTACAACTCTTTAAGCATATTGCTCCATGAATTTTTACAGTTATCTATCTCTACTTTTCCCTATAACCATTACCCAGATCAAGATATAGACCATCTTCCCGATTCTTTTGTTCTATTTTCCCCATTAAAAAAATTATCTCCACTTGCTTATGTAATTTGCAGTGAATTCCTGCTGGAATAATTACTAATAAATAGTGAAGTTGTAAGAAAACATTGTCTTATTATTATTGACCTGTACTGTATCATTCACCTCAATAAAAGGATGATATCCCAAGATGACATAAAAAAAATTGTTCCTGTTTTTACATTCACATCAAAGGATGAGGCACAGCAGACAGAAATTCTAGATATGAATACCGTAGAATTGAATTTCTTCCCCTGTAGAGAATTGGAAGTTATATTGCGAGCTTGTATTTTCTTTCTTAAGGCTAACTAGGCAAAATTTAGGTGCAGTTTTATAATGAAAGTCTGCTCATTCCTTTAGTTCTGCACTGATTGAATCTATAGAAGCACTTAGGTTTTTAAACTATTTCTGAACCAGGCATGGCAGTACATGTCTGTGGTCCTAGCTACTTGGTAGGCTGAGGCAGGAAGATCACGGATTTGAGGCCTGCCCAGGCAAAGGTATTGGTAACATCCTGCATTAAAAACAAAATAAAAACAGAAGGATTGGGGGCATAATTCAAGTGGTAGAGCACTTGCCTAGCATGTGCAAGGCCCTGGTTCAATCCCCAATACTTTCCCCCCTATCAAAAAAAAATCTGATTCTGGCCAAATCTGGTAACTTTGTGACTTAACAGGTGAATAGTGCTGGAAACTCCAATAGGTAATAGTAATTCTTTATTCATTTCTGAGAACTTGATTTTTAAAGGACAGTTCTGCTTTTCATCCCTTAGAGACAATCAGTAAGTACTCATTCAGTATCCTTGATGCCAGGGAGGACATGAAAACACATCCCTGAAGAGACTCACCAGTTAGTTGAGAAGACTATATTGTCATGTTTATAGGTGTTTGAACACGGACAGCTGAAAATTTAGGTTGTTCCATAAAGATTGTGATGACACCCAGGATTGAGGACCACTGCCTTCATTGTTGACTTTATGACCCCATGCAAATCACACTAAACCTTAGTTTCTCATTTTGCTTACGAGACCTAAATGGACCTGAATATTAAAAAGGAATGATTATACGAACTGGGATATTTCTAGTAATGCAACATGGACAAATTAATATGTGAAGTGAGCCACTGAAAGCGGACATTGCTACCATGAACAACATAAGCTAACAGTGCCAACCAAAAGCCTGTAGGCAGAAATTCCATAGTTCAGTTAGAACTATCTAGATTGATGTATTTTGGAAAATAGGGGCGAATATGGGGGAAAATCACCAGCCTCTGGAGGCCTTGAGAAGACAGGGCATGCTAAATGCTTTTCTGGCTCAGGAGAGTTCTGGAGCAGACTTGGTGAATTGAGAGTAAGTGTCCTACTTTTAGTTTGAGAGAGAAAAGGAAATAATCAAAAAAGCAGAAATAAACTTTCCCAAGATGTAGTTCCCAGTGCCTCTGTTTTCTAGCCAGTGCAGTAGCCATGTCACAAGCATAATGGCAACTGATACACAAGTCCTGCCTTCAAGTCTCAGAGAAAACTTAAGATAGGGTAAGGAAGAGAGTGGGGTAAAATTGATTAGCTCTTTTTTTAAACAACTTTACTTATTTATTTATTTATTTATTTATTTGCAGTACTTGAGCTTAAACTCAGGGCCTACACCTTGAGCCACTCCACCAGCCCTTTTGTGTTAGATTTTTTTTCGAAATAGGGTCTCATGAACTTATTGGCCCGAGCTGGCTTTTTGAACCATGATCCTCCTGATCTCTGCCTCTTTAGTAGCTAGGATTATAGGCATGAGCCACCAGCACCTGGCTTTAAAACTACATTTTAAAATTATTTCACTTGATAGAAATTATGAAAAACAACATTTTGTAAGGAGATCTACCAAAGTACTTAAAAGTACTTAAAGGATTAACACTTCTTATCATCTTCTTTGTACATCCTCAGTAGTGGAGGTTTTACCTACATAATTTTTACAAAATCGATAATATAGTTTTTATTTAGACGTAATTTACATTCAGGAAAATGTATGAATATTAATAGTTTCTGAGTTTTGAAGAAGGAATAAGCTTATACTGATTGAACAGGTCAGCCCAGAAAACATGACATGTTAAACGTTAAAAATTACTTTTTAGGAAAGAGTCTGTGGGACAGGCTTCTTGCAGATGGTTTCAGTTATGATTTCTTTTAGTTTATGGCTCAGCAGAGCAAACATCATACTAACCTAGTAAGTTTAAGTCACCTGCTGGGTGCTGTAGATCATTGAAAATGAGTAAACATAGGTACTGCCCTCATGGAACCTATATTGTAATGCAGAGTTGAAATAACTCCCCAATAAAAAATAATGAAAGGTTGTTTAAAAGAGTAGAAGATACAGAAAATAGTGTCGCCTATCTAGGCTCATGGTATGAGGAAGAACAAGTTGTTATTATACATGCAATAAATTTTCTCTTTGTGTTCAGTGAATAACTTAAGGCATTATGAAACTTTGCTTCTGTCCACCTTCCATTAGTTTGCTGCATAATACAAATCTTTTCATATTTTTATGATAATAAATTGTTACCAGTTCTGTGTTGAGTTATACAACTGAGGAAAGGGCCTGAGTGCAAGTCTTTTTAAATTAAAATGGCATAGTTCATGCTGTAAGTAGAACTTGGGCTCAGAAGCCTCAAGAGAACTGTCAGAAAAAAAAAAAAAAAGCTCTATTGTGTTCATATGGGGAGCACCAAATTTTGACTTTCTTGGACATTCTCATTTGCTCTGAATTTTGCCCACTGAAATCAGTCTTATAATTTTAATTACTTGATACTGCTTTAGAATAATGTGTATTTGTCTGCTATTCCTGTTAGCTAGAAGGTGTTTGATAACCAAATATGAGAAGTGAATCTACTTTAAATTAACTGACTTTTAGTAAAATATCTATTTTCCTCTGAAAACTTGAGGCCCATTTCATTAAAATCCTGTGGCTTGAATCAGCAATGTCAGTTTATAAGTTTGCTTTCTATATTCATTTTTGAGTTTTATTTTGACTTGGTTTTCAAAATTGGCAACTCATTATACACTATATGCATGTATTGAAATGTCACACTCTACCCCATACATATGTGCACTTTACATGATTAAGTGTTTTTAAGTTGTAAATAATAGAAATATGTGCAGCCTGGAACTGCAGGTAATGTAAAACTTGATGAACCATACCTTGCTGAGAAGTTGACTGTGGTTTTTGTATCACACTTAGGGTAGGAATTGGTTCTTACTGGGTTCTTTTAATTGAATTACTGTCCATCTTCTTTCTTTTTTGGGGGGGGAAGTAGTGTTTGAGATAGAGTCTCACTATGTAGCCTGGCCATGAACTCATCATTCTTCTGCTTCTGTTTCCCTAATGCTGGGATTACAGGTGTCCACCACCATACCTGGCTTGAAAAATTTCTTGATGAAAACCCGTAAGAGTCTTAGATAATTAGTTGTCATCAACAGATGGTCAAGGAAGGGAGTTGGTAATTCCCCCGTGGGTCACCAGATGAGATGAGTCACTGTCAGAAGTACTGCCATCCTTCTGTTCCTTCCTGAAAACTTGGCAGTGACCGACTCCCTGTCCACCTGGCATCTGCACGTGCATTTGATGGCCAGACAGCTTCTCCTAATGGAATTGGTGTGATTAACAAAAGCCAAAATGGGATGCTTTTAAAGGAAAGTTTTAAATCCCTGTTTGAGCATCCAAGTCTGTTTTTATCTTTGGTCAGA